TGTGTTTTCAAATCAATTGCAAATAAGCAAACAATTCTGCACTACATGCAGTTTTATGTCAGTAAACAGTTGCACCAATTTTATATTTCATTTCTAGCATTTGAAACACAACAAAATGGTCTTTAAAAAGTCTTTAAAGGGGAGCAGAGGTGGCTGAGGGCTGGCTGGAGATGACCAGCTGGGGGCGGGGTGGGGTTGAGCACAGGTGAGTGGAATTAGCTGCTGATGGTGAAGCACTGAGGAGAATAATAGTTGCGGAACAATGTGGCACTGGAAAGCAAGAGAAGTCAGGGTTTCATGGAGGTCTTGGTGAGGTAAGATGATTTGCAGGGTTGTTCAATCAGCCAGCTGCAGTGGGTCGTGCCATGCCCTCAGCTACACACTGAAAAGGAATGATGAGAATCCAAAGAGGGAGGAGGGCAGAGAAGCAAAGGAAAACAAAAATCAAGTCTGCAATGAATTAGAAGCTACTGGAACACAGGAGAAAGATCACGTGGAGAGAGAAAAGGCCTTCTGGAGGAAAGTTCTGTGTTGAGATGAAACAAACATTGCTTTTACAAATAGCTTTGAACTGTTGCCCCATGAACCATACTCCCATGACCTGCACCATCTGTTTCCAAAACTGAAATCCCACTCGTGTGGTGGCCATGTTCAGTCACGCATGCTACTGAGGAGTATCTGGAGGCTCAAGTTGTGACCTTCCACGAAGGGACTGACCAAGTACCTTGAAGATAAAAGAGACAATGTTAAAAAATAATGCAAGAACAAACATTTTCCTGTGATGTTTTCTGGTGAGGCCAAGAATTTTTTGAAATACCATTGTAATTATGCATAAATTTAAGCCATGATGCAATTTAAAAGGTTGAGTTATACAAAAATTAAAGCTGTCATTAACAGGAAAACCAGCAATAGAGACCAACAATGTTTTTGTACCACGCTGTAAACATGTTTGCTGTAACGTTGGGCGTTGTAACATGGTGACCAATGGGGATTAACTCGGTTCTGGAAGCAGCCTCAAGTGGCCATTTGAGGAACTGCAGGCTTCACCTTTCAGTCACTGGATTTGCCACTTGGTTATGCATTAAGTGATAGTCATCTGCATAGAAGTTGCATGACTGTTTATTTTGAGTTAATGTCCCTTTCCTCTCAGTTTGAACCTCTCGCTACTCACTTTTTCACTTCAGAAGTTTCTACTCTCACACTTTTCTCTGTAACTCTAAAAAAGCACTTTCAACAGATACTTAAACCACCAGATTCCTTCCCCATTGTGATGTTTGGTCTTAAGTGCATCATTGTGAGAAAATTAAATGTGTGCATGTGTGTGTTTGTGTGTAGATTGTCAGGTTGTCTGGTCACAGAAGACGGTTGTGCTTCTCTGGCCTCAGCTCTGAGCTACAACCCGTCCCATCTGATCGAGTTGGACCTGAGCAACAACAATTTGCAGGATTCGGGAGTGAAGCAGCTTTCTGAAGGACTGGAGAGTCCACACTGGAGACTTGACATTCTCAGGTATGGATAGACACAACGCTCTCACATAGTGTCTTCCAGAGTGTCTCACATGGGCTGAAGGGCTGCACTTGAGGGCTGTTTGCAAAATCCGCTGTCATGGAGTAAGGCAAGACATGAGGACTTCCACAAATGCAGGAAATGCATGCACTTTAAGGCAGTTTTTTTCTAGCTCAAAAACATTTAAAAAAATAAATAAATAAAAAGGCCAGACTATTTTTGAAACTTCCAATCAGTCACTAGTAAAGTGGGCATGACAGCCACCTTAGAGATCATTAAACAAGACGTTAATTTGAAGTAAACTGATATTTTTAAAAACAGCAGTTTGGATTCTTGTTGCATTGAACACCATTAAAGAAGAGAACGGCATTTTTTTCCATCTTCAAAAAGATTGTACTTGTCTAATTGTGTTTTGTTTTCTAGAGTGGACAGTAATAGAGAGCAGAAGCTAACTCCTGGTCTGAGGAAATGTAAGTCCCTATACTACATCTATACAAAGTGTACTTGCACTTTCTCCCATTTTATGCCTGAAGATGCATGTTTTGTCTGGATCAGACATTGCAACACTTTTGAGTCCTGTGAGTCCATGAGTGGGTTATTCTCCTTGAAATTACTTATTTTTCTGGGATGCCATCTTCCCTTCACTCTCTACGGCAAACACAAAAACTTTAGTGGATTAGAATTGCTCACTGTTCCTTTAATTGAATCAGCAAACTGCCGTTAGGAAAGCTGACATAATCACTTAACAAACGATCAGTCAGGTATAAACAGGCTCGACAGGGGATCAGATCTGCAATTGAAAGGTGATTTGCTCCCAGATGTAAGTTAACAAGATATCATCAGCATGTGTCTTCTGAAAACCTTTAAACAGTCGCTCTGCTTGCAGATCAACAAATGATAAACTTGTCTGTCGCATTAGATAATAAACTGCTTTGTTATTTTCTGTTCTTTCTTCATCAGATGCCTGTAAAATCACTCTGGACCCAAAGTCAGCACATAGAAACCTCAAACTGTCTGACAACAACAAAAGAGTGGAAGCGGTGATCCAGCAGCAGCCGTATCCTGATCATCTGGAAAGATTTGATATCTTTTGTCAGCTGCTGTGTAGAAATGGTCTGACTGGTCGCTGTTACTGGGAGGTCGAGTGGAGTGGAAGGGTTGATATAGCAGTGGCCTACAGAGGGATCAGGAGGAAGGGATACAGCAGGACCTCCAGGTTTGGAGGCAACGATCAGTCCTGGTGTCTGAGCTGCTCTGATGATCATTACTCTGTCTGGCACAACAACGCAGAGACGATCATTCCTCTGCCTCCCTCCTCCATCTCTCACAGAGTAGCAGTTTATCTGGACTGTCCAGCTGGCACTCTGTCCTTCTACACAGTCTCCTCTGATACACTGGTCCACCTCCACACCTTCAGCACCACATTCACTGGACTTCTGTATCCTGGGTTTAGAGTCTGGAGTGGTTCAGTGACTATATGTCCAGAGGCTGCTGCAGAGTCACACTGATGACTGTCGAAAACTGTGGAAAATTTCTCACACCCGTTTCGCAACTTGAAGGTCAAGCAGAGTGTTTTTGTACTGATGAACCAGCGTATTTGATTGCTGTGTTCCCAGCTCTTAAAAAAAAGTTCAGTCAAAGACTCCTAGTGCTTCTGCAGGTGTGGGTTTTATTAAATCTGTTACTCAGCCTAAACTGCTCTCACCACATGAACCAATAACGACGGAGCTAGATCCTCACTTCAAGCCATTTATTTCTCAGGGCTTTGTTTCGTTAAGCGATACACTCATTACAGGACGCATTAAAGTTGCATCTGCCTATTAATGGCATTTCATTCTTGGCAATGACTTAGCTGGAGGACAAGTTTTTCCTCTGCCAACACTAATGATGTTCCTGTCTCTGATGCGCTTGCCCACATTTCTCCCGCCTTAGGTTTGCCAAGTTTGTTTCCTGCGACTGAAATTATGCATGTACAGGCTCGTGAGAAGGGTAATATTGATCTGTCTGGATCATTCATTGCTATTTTGGATGAGAGTGAGTTTTCCTCCCCTGTGACCTTGTGGAGAAGCCCAATAATCCTGTTCCGCCAGTCTGCTTGCATCCCAGCAATCAGTGAGCAGTTCAAGAGAGTCTTGTTAGATTGTGTGGACCTTCTGCCAAATACTAATCTGGTAATCAACATATTAATCTTCCTGAGGCCTTCCCACTACGCACCCTAAAAGTCAGATCGGTGGTGAAAGCCTTTCACCAAATTTTTTTCCACCTTTGGTCTTCCCAAAACCATTCAAACAGGTGAAACTGAGCGTGTCCTGGTTTAGGAATGTAAATCATATTAGAAATAAAAATGAAAAAACAATTCTTACCACCAGTTGGCTGTTAGGAATGTATATTTGCAGACGTCATTTGTCTCACTAATAAATGTAAGAATCTCTATCAGTGTCTCTCTGTTAAATATCTTTCATTTGCATTTCTCTTGGGTTGCTCTTTCACACAACTGAGGATATAGAAGATTGAAAAATGGGATTCATCAAATAACTGACTTAGATGAGGGGTACATTTTGTTGATAGAATGAAAATTGGGAACCACTTCTCTCAACTATGATGCACCAAACTTGTACCAAGATGCAAGCTTCCATTTTGCTAGCATTAGTCATAGTAGTAGTGCTAGTTTTTCAGAGCAGTTTCTCAGCTCAGGGCCTCATACGGGGATCAGGGGCAGCTTTCACAGCAGCAGGCCGACACAGTTTTACAGCTGCAGCTCAGTGTACTTTGAAGGCTTTCCTTAGATAATATAATTCCACTGAAGAATACAGCAGATGTATGAAACATGTAGTTTTAGGGTTGTCTCTGAGTACTGACAAAGCCACAGCAGCTGATAGTAGAAGAACAGTGCACAGGACACAACGTAGGACTTCTCATAGTTTCATCGTAGCAACTGAACTTGCTTGAGTTTGTTGAAGACGTTTCACCTCTTGTGCAAGAGCCCTCATCAGTTCTTCAGTCAGAACTGTCATAACCATGACCTGGATGACTGAGAAGCTTCTCAGACAACGTAGGACTTGTTTTGCACTGAGAGACTTCAACTGAAACTGATGACTTCTGCACACTCAGTGATCCAAGGACTGTGTTTTGGTGGTCCCCCTGTTAGACTGCTGCCTGTTTACCTGTCCTGTTAGACACTGTGTGTGTGTGTGTGTGTGTGTGTGTGTGTGTGTGTGTGTGTGTGTGTGTGTGTGTGTGTGTCCAGTACATTTGATGCTGTCATCACCATATCTGACAACACAAGTGTTACAATCATAAAAAATGAAAAGAGAAAATTACAATTAATTTGTTTGTCCCTTTTGCATAAGTCACACACATGCAACAAACTTTAAGCTTTGGAGATGTCTGCAGATGACTTCTGAGAACTGTCTGATACAACAGATAAGGATTTATAATGTCTGATTATTGGAATCTGATTGTAGCTCTTTATTCCAAAGGTCAGAACTCTTCAAAAATCACAAAGGATGTTAGTGTTTGTAGGTGTCACCTCAGAAAACCAGTAGATAAATTTATATTAGGATTGATAAGGATTTATAATGTTTGACTGCTGGAGTCTGATCTCAGCTCTTTCTTCCAAAGGTCAGAACTCTGCTATCACATATCATAAAGAAGACTCTGAAAAATTTGAAGGTGAAATCAGACACTTGAGAGTGAACATGAAACTACAGGACTTTGAAAACCTGCTGCTGTCCGTTCCATGTTTATTTTTCTCTGCTTGAAGCTGCTGATTAAACTGGCTTTACGCAGATTCTTCCCTCCATTAGAAGGTAACGTAAAAAAAACATTTTCTTCAAGTTTGTTTGAGCGTCGGTCCAGAAGTACAAGAGTCCAGTCTGTGTTTGCCTGCTGTTGATTTGATTCTGAGCCGCTGTAGTTTGTACAACAAGCAATTTAAATGACATGTAATGTTTTTGCTGATAAATTAATTTCTTGTCTTGTTTTGTCAATTTCAAATCACACTTCTGTGGGAATAATCAACTGAAACTATAACTGTAACTGGGTGTTAAAGTGGTTCAGTGACATGAGGATAACTAAAAAGTTCTTTTCAGTCTTGACCATTCAAAGTAACACATGCTGTTTTAATGATGCTTTGAAGCTCAGTTCAGTTATTTATAATAAACAGGTTGAAATCTGCTTCACTGAAGCCTTCAACACTGTCTGAGCCTTCCTTGTTTTGACTGAGTGATTCTGGGCGTGGGTAAAGTCCTGCCTGATGGAATGTTCCTGTAGCATTTATTTTATGTTCTACACTTATCAATACCTGATTAGTGATTAATAGGTGGCTGATTGATCTTTTTATATATATGTTTCAGAGAGCAGAGGGTTTTTGGATGTTCGGTTTTATTACAACCATTCAAACCACCAGTCAACACTGCTGTATTTAAATCACATGCAGTCCTTTTCAAACTAAACAACATATACAGTAAACGAACAACAAACAAAACCACAAAGTGGTTTGTGAATTACAATGAATGTTAGTGTTTGTAGGCATCACAGTAGCAAACCAGTGGATTGAGTTTTGCAGTGTTTTGCAGTAAATGTGATTATGTGTTTTATATAAAGTGTACGTGACCTTTGAAATGTGGTTTTGTGTTAAGCTGTGTTAAGTCACTTTGAAACTATTTTGCATTTTGGCAAGTTTCTGAGGGATGTTCACTGTCCCATCCAGCTGTAGAGTGTGATGCTGTTCAAAGGTCAACCCTATTCAGGACTTCTGGGGACTTTTGGACCCCAGGCCATTTGGTTTAGGTGACAGGTATTGTTTTTTTATTTTTGAAGATTTTTTTTTTATATATAAAAAGAGGGATATTTGTCATGCTTTTGGAACCAAAAATACATCAACTTATCAGAAAATGTATTTAACATTGTATAAAGGTCTGTAATAAATACCGACAGATATTTTGCACATATTCTTTCTTGAGGTCCGATGGACCCTGAAAGACCTTCTATGTATGACAACATGAGAGTCCTGAATAGGGTTACTGATGAACAGATAAGAAAGTCATCAAAAATATCACTGATCAACTTCTGAAAATGTTCACACTAAACATGGAAAATCAAAAAACATTAAATTCTGTTTCTGTGATAACATGGTATGATTTTAGTGTTTTGAAATTTTTTAAGTCACTTATTCATTGTGTTCTGTAGATTATGGTATTTTTGAAACACAAGAAGAGTCAAAGTTTTTTTTTTATTATTTATTTTTATGGCCTTTTTGCCTTTATTAGATAGGACAGCTGAGAGAGAGAGACAGGAATGTAAGGGAGAAGTATGTGGGAAGGACCTGCAGCAAAGGGCCATGAGTGGGATTCAAACCCATGGCCGCTGCATCAGGGACTCCAGCCCCTGTACATGGGTCGCCAGCTCCACCAGCTGAGCTATAGCAGCAGCCCATCAAAGTTATTCTATAGCAGCTATAAAATCAATGAAGCTTGTGCACAAACAGCATTCTGATCTGTCACTCGTTAAAGAACAAAGGTCAGACAAAGGAAATGTAACACAACTAACAGAAGATTAGGCTCATGTTGTATATACAGTCGTGAACAAAAGTGTACATCCACTTATAAAGACCATGTCTGCTGCGGAACTCTTCAGTATCTAATGACTCCTGTAGCTCTGAATTTTCTATTATGGATTTCGGTTCATTTATAAATTTATTACAGGTCTTCTGGAAATATGACAAAATCTGCTGGGTCACAAACATTCATACAGCAACTTAGATTATCAGTTCAAGTTCAGTCTTGATGTAGAGAGCTGTGTTAATCGAATTTCATTAGTGTCATGGCCTCTTCACTTCTCAGGAGTTATTATGACTGAATACAGCTGCTGACTTTTTTATGAGACAATATAAATGGAGCTTGTTTGATATGAGTGTTCATGTTCCAGTAACAAGGCAGTAAATTTGTTTTGAGCTTCCTGCTGTGTGACTGGAGCTGAACTCTGGTCTCTGGTTGGAGGTTTCGCTGCTTCACTGTCATCTTGATGTTTCTGTATATTAACAGTAAAGTTGTGAAAGTGTGACAGAGTCATCAGATGGGTGATGAAGGACTGATGAAGGAGAATCAGCAGCTTCTCTCTCTGTGTTTCAGGTGAAGGTTGATCTGCTCTGTGACTGGATGTGGATCTGAGTTCACCTGGTCAGTGTTTCCTTTTTCTATCATACAATTAATTAAAAGTGCATAAAGTTTTTACACAGAAGAGAACTCTAATGATGAATATGAACTAGTGGATAAACATACAATAATATACACAGTAATATAATGGATGTAGTTTGTTACATAAAATGTAATGTTGTAAGGATTTGATAATGGAATCATTTGAGCATCACTAACATTGGTGCCATCTGGTGGTGGAAGGTAGAATGACACTGTGGTAGACAGCAGTGTGAATGTTGTTATACTGAGCAGGTTGTTGTGTTTGTGTGAAGGTGTGGCTCTGCTATGGATCAGTGTGAGGACAGAGAGGAGGGAGTCCCTCCCTCTAAAGCCACTCTGTGGGGGGAACATGAGAACCAGACCAAAGCTCAGAGGTGAGATGAACATCTCTAACTGTCCATGACTCTTCTCCATGTCAGAGCTCAGCACTCACATCACTGACCTTCATTATTCACATTCAAAGCTCTGTGTGTGTTGTGTTGAAGAACAAAGCAGCAGAACAGACCTGGGACCTGTACTATGAAGCAGGATTTGGGGTTAGCAAGGTAACTTCAGGTTCAATCCAGGGTTTTCGGTCCTACGAAGGTGGTTCACTTCTTACCGGGGTGCGTCACCATGATAAGTTACACTGAATGGCTCACCTGCTCCACAGCAGGTTATGTTGGAGGTTGAGATCACTATAAAAACACCACCCACTGAAAGTCAGTTCTCTCCCGTAAAACTTCAGAAGGAGCAGAAAACTAAGCAGTTCTCAACAAAATGGCATCACCGGCATTTATTGAAGACCCGATACACATTGGAGCATGAACTATGAGGGATCACTGAGGAGTGTGACTCACACTCCTCAGTGATGAGGAGTTTTACAGGTGTGAGGGTTTTACAGGACTGGCAAAACCCCTTAGCGTACCCAGACGAGGATCTCTATGAGCTCCTGTCTTCCTTCATTCTTTTTTTTTCTGTTGGCTACAGGCAATCTCAAAGCTATTTCATATTTTATTTCTATACCAATGTCACCCCTCAACAGTAAACTGACTTTAGCATTAAAGCTTGTATTTGTAGGATACGTTAATAAGCTACACCACTTTGAATTATGTTTATGTTTGTTCTTAACTTGTTCCCACGTCCTTTTTACACCGCCAGGATCGCAGCTGAAAGTTAAAAAAAATGTCAGATATGCCACAAGTATATACATTAGGCAGCAAATTAGTTAAAATGAATCCTCAGATGTGCTTATTGTCTGATACATGCCTTCATGATGGAACAGTGATCATATTTTATTATGGACTAATGAACTGATGCATTCACACAGTCAGCAGTTTCCCGCCAGCATTCCTTCCTGGCTTTGGCCGCTGCAACGCTGCTGCTTTTTGCTCCAATGATGTTTTTTATATTCTTCATATTTTGTAAAGATTATATTCTGCTCCTTGGCGGTGAAGTGAGCCGCTCTGCAGCCAGACTTGTTCATAGTCGCGATTGGTCAGATGTCGATAACTCCGCCCATTTTATGTGCATGCGCTCATACTCGGATCAGACAACCCTGGGTTGACTTACCGAGTTGATAACCACCGTCGTAGGACCGGTTAACCTGAATGCGATTGTTAGGGTTAGTCAAGCCAGATCTCTGAAACCTATCCTGGGTATGTTGATCTCAATTCGTAGTACAGGCCCCTGGTGGACCTGAACCTGAACCTGGGTGTGAAGTCAGCCAAGTTTCTGTGAAAAATCTCAGATTTATGAATCTTTTGGACGTCATTCTGCTGACCTATTGCAGAACAAGTATAATGTATTTGTTTGTTTTTATCACTCATTTTATCACATTTTGATTAACGCTATTGTAAAGACAAGATTGACTTGTCGTTTTTTTTTTCGTTTTTTTCATCAGGATTAATAAGCAAAAAACAGCCTCTCCTGAACCCAGCTGTGTGTCCATGAAGAATGATGTGTCTAGAATTTTTCCCATTCAGTTCGATAATAGACACCAGTCTGTTCATGAAGGGTAAGATCAGTTCTCTCCCACAAACAACAATAATCTATAAACTGTCAAGAGGAACATTACAACAATTTTCCAGAGTTGAGGTGCCATCACAGCAAAGACCAGGTTCCCTTTCATCTTAACTCTGACACAGGAACATCTGCAGGTTCTCATCTGAGAATCTCATGTTGGTAAAGAAAAGAAATTCTGAAACACAATTTGGAATCATGAAGAACCTTAAATTAATAAAATCTCTGTATAAATCATGAAACTATTGAACAGTCGGTGTTAGAAAGTGCAAACATTGAGGAAATTCGCATTTATGGCCCCAGTATTTAATAAATCAAAGATTTTCAGTGGAGGATCCCTTTAAGTTACACTTGTGTGTTGGTGGTTTTGTTTCCATCAGGATGAATCAGCAAAGACCAGCCTCTCCTGAACCCAGCTGTGTGTCCATGAAGAGTGATCGGTCTATGATTCGTCCCATTCAGTTCAAAGATGGACACCAGTCTGTTGATGAAGGGTAAGATCTGTTTTTTCCCACAAACAATAATCTTTAGACTATCAATAATACCAACGCCTCCATTTTAAACAATATCAAAGTCATGTTCTTTGAGGAAAAATCCTAAATTACAAATTTGACTGAATCCATTGCAAATTTAACCACAGTACCGACAGTGTTGCCCTGTTTTTTCCACCTTGCTGAGTATTAATATTGATGAACAATAAGAACAGCGTTTACATTAGAGATCACTTTGTGTTTCTGTCAGGATTCATCATTACAGAACACAACTCCTTTAACAAAGTGTAAATGTGCTAAAGTTGAATGTTGTTGCAGCGTTAAGCAGCAGAGCTCAGAGGATCTCAGAGGTCAGTCTGTCCCTCAGCATCAAACAGATCTGGACTCTGTGGTTATGGTGAGAACTATTCTACATTCAACACTTTAACCTGACTGAAGAATTTGTTCTGATTTATTGATAAAATATGGAACATACTGAGCAACTTATTAGATCTATGTGAGTCCAAATATTACAATTAAATCCATCAGTGCTGCAAACAGTCCAACGTTCATTAAGGTTATAATGTTCAGTTACTGGTGAAACTGTTTCAGGTGTTGATTCCACTTCAACTATGATGTTGGTTCTAACATTGATCACACTGCTCTCAGTAATGGATTGAAACAGAGATCTCAATTTTTCTTTCGTTTCAGTTGAGAGTAAACTCATATATTTCTCTGTTCCAGCTGCTGGAGGAAAACATTGTCAGTTTTGTGAAGAACGAGGTGAAGGAGATCCAGAAGGTTCTGAGTCCAGATTACCCAGAATGCTTAGAGAGTCAGAGGGAAGAGGAGGTGTTGGAGGGTGAAGATGAAGATCAGAGGAGGAGCAGCAGAGAGTCATTTCTGAAGATCACTCTGCACTTCCTGAGGAGAATGAAGCAGGAGGAGCTGGCTGACCGTCTGCAGAGCAGTAAGAGGATTTTATGTTTATAGATTTTTTATGTTTATTTTATGTTTAGATTTGATTTTATCAGAGAATTAGCTCAAATATCAGAAGGATCAATGCCGGCTTTTGTTGGTCCAGCGCAGTGAGTGGAAGGGAGTGTAGGTCCGAATGAGAGAGTTCAGGTAGGAGGGAGCTGTTCTCATTGCAGTTATGTAGGTAAGTGTCAGAGTTTTGAATTTGAGGCAGACAGCAACTAGAAGCCAGTGAAGCGATCTGAACAGCAGGGTGACAAGTGCTGTTTTTGGCTGGTTGAAAAGCAGACGTGCATGCGGGGAGGCCTGCAAGTAGGGAGTTGCAGTAGTCAATGCGTAATATTTTGAGAGCTTGTACCAGGACTTGTGCTGCATGTTCAGACAGGAAAGGTCTGATCTTCCTGATGTTGTACAGGGCAAGTCGACACGACCAAAGACAGAGACCACATGAACCTTGAAGGTTAGTGGGTCATCAATCATGACACCCAAGTTTCTGGCAGGCTTTGTGGGTTTGAGTTGGGTTGACTCAAGCTAGATGTTGATTTCTTGTTGTATAGAGGAACCAGGTGGGATGACAAGGAGCTCAGTCATGGAGAGGCTGGGTTGAAGGTGGCATTTCTTCATCCATGCCAAGATGTCTGTAAGGCATCATGAGATCCGGGCAGAGACAGTGTGTTCACTCAGGGGAAATGACAGGAAGAGCTGGGTATCATCAACATAGCAATGCTACAAGAAACCATGAGAGTGGATATTTACACAAGTGAGGTTGTGTATATTGAGGGCCGAGCACTGACCCTTGAAGAACCCCTGTAGATAGGTTTTGTGGTTCGGACACTTATCCCCTCCAGGATACTCTGAAGTACTTCCCTAAGAGGTAGGACATTAACCGGCAGAGGGCAGATCCTGAGATGCCAAGCTCAGTGAGTGTGGAGAGGAGGATTTGGTGGTTAACAGTGTCAAAGGCAGCTGAAGGCAGCTGAACCTCTAGCAGAACGCAATGATTCTGTTTCAGATAGAAGTGGTACAGTGTTTAAAACCAGACAGATTCGGGTCATACAGGTTGTTGGTAGAGAGGAAAGCAGTAACTTAGTTGAAGATCGTTAACTCAAGTATTTTATAGAGAAATGGCAGGAGTGAAACTGGTCTGTAGTTTTTGACCTGGGCTATGTTGAGTGTAGGCTTTTGGAGCATTGGAGTGACTCGAGCTTGCTTAAATGCAATGGGGAACACATCTAAAACAAGTGAGGAGTTGATGTGTGTCACTGCAGAGTAAAGAGCTGAGAAAATGGTTTGTTGGATGGCATTGGTTCCAGTTACTTATGATGCGAACATTCGCATCAGATTTATGAATCCTTTTGGACTGAAAAGAGTCAGAACATACAACTGATATGCTAAATAGGTTTCATGAAGGCAGAAAACATTTATACACAATGCAAAATTACAATTTTCAGAGTTGTTAAGGCTTTCACCTATTAATTACATTTCTTGTTTTTTTAGGGACAAATGCTGCCATGTGCCAACAACAACTCAAGTCCAACCTGAAGAAGAAGTTCCAGTGTGTGTTTGAGGGGATCGCTAAAGCAGGAAACCCAACTCTTCTGAATCAGATCTACACAGATCTCTACATCACAGAGGGAGGGACTGCAGAGGTCAATGAGGAACATGAGGTCAGACAGATTGAAACAGCATCCAGGAGACCAGACAGAGCAGAAACAACCATCAGACAAGAAGACATCTTTAAAGGCTCACCTGGAAGA